CTTCCACACTGTACAGTATACTGCTTCTGGTCTATCAAAATGTCAACATAGTATTAGTCAATCTCCTTTTAATTTCATATTCATCCCACTTTGCCTTTTGATTTTACTTCTTTTAAAATGACATACCTTACATGCAACGAAGTTTAATGTATAATACTTATAGTGAGGAAACATCTGCAAATATCTGCAATATACCCAGGATAAAATAATATAAATAGCCCATTAGAAGGATATGAAATATTCTAAATGTGAAAGCTAAAATTCCCATTTCTGAAAATCATTACTGTCCTTTTTTCCCCCTTTTTTTATTTTGTTCTTTTTTTTCCCCCAGTGTGGATAAGATACTTTAGAATGTTGAAGCTCTCCAGCTATTAGGCAGTTTTGCTTAAGTTCATGACCTCGGATTCTATTAATGATCAGTTCTGACCCCTACACCTCCCTGTAGACTCCTAGAGATAATGAGAAGAGCAGGGAATTATTGATCAAAACTAATGTGGCTTCCTTGTAGATCCTGAGTTTCTGTGTTAAACAAAATCAATCAATGCCAACTGAAAAGCCTGTTAATCATAAGGTATGAAAAAAAAATTATCAACTAAGATTCTATAGAAAATAATACAGCTACAATGATGGCAAAGAATGAAAACTGTATTAAAACTTTAAAAAGGTGGTTATGCGTTTTTTGGTTTGGTTTGATTTTGAAGACTTTGATTTACAACATACTTTGTCTGAACACTCTGAATTCAGTTACTTGAGATCCAACTATTTGAAATTTAGGCATTTGGGGTATCAGGATCAATGTCCTGGGATTTCTCATAGCATAAAAGTAACCAGAACTCAAATCCAGAACATGAGAATCTTCTCATCACAGAATTCAGGTAAGCATCCTCATTTTCTCAAGCAATTCAATGACTTCTCTCATACCACTTTTCCTCTCATCAACTGTTTCTATTTTCTGGGGAAATCACTGTTTATTTTTGAGCTATAAATACATACTGGACAGAATTACTGGAATCTATTGAACATTTAAATGTCCAGCACACTCTTTTCAGGTTAATATACTTGTATTCTATGAAACGCTTTGGCATAACAAATCTGATTTTTAGATGGATACAATAAAGAATGCACACCATAGGTGCATGTGTACATACGCTGTTTTCAAAGACTTTGTATCACTTGCTTTTAAACAAGTTTAAAATAGTGAATGTACTGCACAAAAATAGAGAATAATTGTTATCTCCCAATCTCTCACAGGCTCCAGCTTAAAAAACTGATGAAGCTTGACTGACACAGAGGGAAATTACTCTGGTGATAAACCAGATGCTATGTTGAAGCATAATATCTTATCAAAGTAATGCAACTGAGGTCATTGCTGTGGAATTTGATCACAGAAAAGGGACTAGGGACTGCTAGTTGTAAATAATAATAATATAGCTAAAAGTGCAGGCAAACTACTGTCATAATATGACAAAACCTACATTCATGAATAAAAATTCCATCACAACCAAACATACCAAATATACATTATGACTCCGTGGGTCTAGGAATGAAGCAATCAACACTAAATCAAGCTTGAAATCAGGGTGAATATTGATGCCATTTTTTCAGATTACATTAGCAATCTGCCATACTTAAAGACTACTAGAAAAAAATAAAAGAGTAAATCAGCACTCTCCATCATAGGGAGGCATATCAGGAAAATCTCTGTTCTTCATGATCTGCTCAGACCAAGCCCTGAACACTGCACCTTCACTTTTAAGAACTCCAGTTTTATCTATCTGACATATACTGTCTTTCATTTTTTAGGAAAAGACCTTAGCTGATGTAGCAGTGGAAAGCAGAATGGATTTTAGTAATCAACTCAGGACTTACTCTAAGAGCTATGTTGACAAGTGCAATCTCAGACAATGCTTGTGAGGTTTAAGAGCCCTTAAATTACTTACTCTTTTGCTGCAGTAATTGACACTTGCATTTCAGAGCTCCAGGAAACATACAGCAAAACTGAACATATTCTAAGGCACTTCTCTCCATTAAACAGTGAACAAATGGTAGCCAGGTACAAAATGATGCATTTTAAGGTTGTAAAAATTAACAGCTTTGGTACTGAATCTTCAAAATACTCTCTTGCCAGAAGCTGTGACACAATTGTTAGCTAATGTTTTCTGGTCAGTAAATTAAGCAGGTCATGCTTACTATGCCTGCTTCCTTCACAAATGACTCTGCATATAATGATTAAAGGTCTAAGGTCTAATTCTGCTACCTTTACTTCAAAGAAACCTCATTAAAATCAAGACTATATAAATAAAAAAATGAAATTAACTAAATCCTTGGAAAGCAAAAAGCAAACTGGCATGAAAATAAAACACTGCACAATGAGATTTTTTTTTCTTTTTGAAAGCAGAGCTGTATTCCCAAATAACAATTACATTCTTAACATCCACTGTAATGTAAATAAAGAAAATGTGCAAAAGCACATTGTGTCCTATTAAAGAAAGCTAAGAGAAGGATATAATTGTTTGTTTGGAAGACATGATTCTTTATGGTAAAAGAATCCTCAACTATTTGTATTCCTAAACTAGCAGTATTTGACTTAGATTTCTCAGACCTAATTTTATTTAGATTTCATGTTCTGTCCAGAAGAAAGCATTACCACCTGTGTCTGAAACTTCTAGAAATTAACATAAACAGTTTGGAAAATTTAGTGAGTATTCTTTAAACTACTAACCCGGTAAATTCACAGTTGGATACTTGTTAGTCAATGGCCAATTTATCTGCCAGCTTTATTTGCAAGCAGAAGATTAGAGCCAAGATAAAGTGTTCATTTATTCTTTCCTATATAATTACATTTACGGTATGTAAAACTATTTTTTAAACTTAATTCATGAATAAAACCTACAGATCAAGGATACGGCTTGTGTCTTCATTTTAATTTGGGAACTTGATATATCATTCTTGATATCATTAACCTTTCTGGGCTTTGATTACAGAACATCCCTAACAGTGTCCAGGAAAGCAAAGCAGCATCTCCTACATGTCTTGCAATTATCATACCTAGCAAAGGGCTCAACATCTTAAGTATAAGCATTTCACAAAATAATAAAGACCCGTGTTATTAGATCTTATTAGAGCTACGTTGAAAAGCTTTAAAAAGATTAATTGTAGTACTTGGACACATAAGTTAATGGGGAGCTCTATTTTTCAACTGATAAACTTCCCACTTATTTTTCAAATACGGAGTATTACATAAAGAACCCTCTCTACTTACACAATATCTAACCACAGATCCTGTCATCCAGTTCTCTGCTTTCATAAAATGATGACCAAGAACATTGAAAGCAAAAGGAGATTTGAGATAGATAGATAGATAGATAGTGTTTTCAAATATTAAATTATCTCAAATCTTTCATACTTGGAAACTAACCTAATACAACAAATAGAGAATGAGGTGTAGTCATGTCTTCTTTCATGTACATTCTAGGTAATCTAAACTCTCATCATCACAGATGTCTAAAGGCAAGACAGAAATGGTGAGTACCAGAGGGTCCTACATTTGATTTATCTATCTGAGGCACTCAGGATGAGATAAATTATTCTGAGAAGATGCCTTTTACTCTGTTGGGTATAAAGAAAACTGAAGTTACTAGGTTAGACAACTAACTCTGGATACCCAAGTTACAGCAAATGAATCTCACCATAGGCCATAACTGACTGAGAAGAAATTGTATTTAGTTCGCATTAGATGATGAAACCCCGTATTTTCCCTCAGAACTTTGTTTTACAATGGGAAACGCATGTTGAATTTTTTAATTGCTAGAAAACATTTTTGCTGAAGTTACAACTATAAATGACCCAATATAATCATTCTATGACTCTGTGGTTCCTTTCTTAAGCAGTTAAGTCTGTTAAAATAAAACAGGAAAGGAGAATTACTGGATATTTTATCACATTACAAGAGAGACAGCTAAGAAACTGTCTTAGAGAATACCAAAACCAAAATGCAAAAACAGAATGTGCATGATGTTCTACATTTAGCTTTCTGGGTAGGCTCTGAAATCTCCTTTGAGCTGTCTTGTTTGATAATCACTGGTGAGACCAAATTCTGAGGCAACAGTCGGGTGTTCTCAGCAATATTTTTATCTGAGGACTCAAACCAGTCAGTGTTCAAAAGCAATCTGTGAATCTGTTATAGTTCTATACATACATATCTTCTTCTCACTTTTGTTAACTGAGCCTAGATCAAAACATACGATTTTGCATCAACTATTTTCAATATGTGTCCAAATTTGTTTTAAATCTGAAAGTTTGCTAATGGCCTTGCACTGGCAGACCTCTCTTGAAGATTGTCCCACCGTGAACATCTTATTTAGCTGTAACATGCAAATTCATTTGTCTCAAAAACTGATTTCAAAGTGAAACATTTTCATATCTCCCTGTATGTCAGCAGTTTTCCAGCTGCATGCAATCACTGCATCTGCAGTGAATCATACAGAATCATCATTTTAAGGAGTGAGGGATGCTGGACATGTGAGGTATGTTCAGATACTGTATTCTAACTATAGTATCAGTCTTTTCTTAACAACATTAACTATCACACAGGAGCAGTCACATTAGCTTCCCAGTGGCATAAAACCTTTAAGGCTCTTTTACAGTGGTTTTGTTGTTGCTTTTGTTTTTTGAATTTAAGGAATAAAAAGTAAGGGAAAAAAGAATGCCATTTCACTGCTGATCCTATCATCACATGCAAAATGTAACAGTACCATTCCTTTAACGTTCAACTGCATATGAAATTAAAACAAAAGTGAAAATTCCAATTAAAAAAAATGTAACAGAAATATCTGCACTATTATTAACACTCTTTTGGGGAATTTCCATGGTATTGCCATTACTAGTTGGGACACATAAAAATTTCCTCTATAGAGCTTTTATTTTTTTTATGAGACACTACCAGTTTTACACCACTCTTGTATTGGCAGAAACTCATTGAATTGAACTTTGCTTCTTACCATCAACACAGGCTGGCCTTGCTCTTGTTGTACCGGCAATCTGTCCTTTTTTACATGCACAGCGAGCTGTTTGTCGGGCTATAGTCCTTCGGGGCTGACTGCTATCTCTGTCCAAAGTAACAATCTCACATGTACCTGCAGCCAGTTGACCTGGAAAAAGAACCAGCAACAGGTACCAGAGTCACTAAATGCACTACAGGCAATCTATTACAGCCAAATAGAGTCATGGCCCTATGTCACAGCAGACACTCCAGAACAAATGGGCAGCCAGCTGATGGATATAATAAAACGAGATGACACACGATTTTTCTTTGTGGTGGTCATATGAAAACCCTGCAAACGGGTTCTGTCAGAAAATTATTATCATTCCATAAAAGCCAGAGAGCTGAGGTTACACAGGTTACTTTTACTTACGTTGGCTAAGTAAAGGCAAAATCTGCTTTCACAACAATGAAATTCAAATGGTGTGCTCTTTACGTATTTTTGGAAAAGAAACAATAAAGAATATGGAAAACAAAAAAACTTCCCCGCATGTCCATGAATATAATGGAGTCTTAACTGCTTTGTCTGCTGGTTTTGAAAGAAGAAATCTTTCAAAGTATGCCTGAGTTTGACCAGATTGTCAGTCCTTCGGTTCTCGCTTCATCTAAACTGAATGGTAATTCATTCTCTACTTGACTCATATTTGAAGTAGCTGGTCTTTTTTTATTTACTAAATTTACTATGCAACCATCCTGCAAATGGCAGTAAAATGACACTGCACCGGTAGCTCAGTAAAATTGTTTGCATTTTATTGACTTCTCCAATTTATTTAGCTTTCCCTGAATAGGGAGGAAATCCACACCACCTAATTCTGAATTTGGACCATGCTATGAGAGGCAAAACAAAAACCTCAAAAGTTCTCTGCAAAAACTTATTTTATACGGAGTATTAGTCTGAAATAAATGTTATACATTTCAAATTATGCACTTCCTCTGATACAACCAACACTAGGCTACTAGTGTACCAAAATACTACCTTTTACAAGCATGGAAGATACATTATTGAATTTCAATGCATAGGATGACTGAAAAAAAATCTCAGGTATAGCTTTATATTACACATGATTTATGGATTTTATGGTACAGTAGTAAATATTATTTCTATTGTATTTTGTCTTTGCAGGCAATCAATTATAAACCTTCAAATGAAGATGTGAAAAAATATATCTGCAAATCACAAGCTTATTATGTTTTGCTTTCATTAAAAAATAAGATTGGAACAAATGCAACATTGTATTTATGAAAAAGTTGTGTGGTTTAAATAATATTCACAGTAAATTATTTTTATGCTGTTGACAAATTGAAAAAAATTACACAAAAAGATGAAATTTTAAATTTGTATTAACATCAAAACTGAAAAAACAAAAAAAACCAACCAAACCAACCAACCAACCAAAAACCCCCCCCAACTAAACACAAAACCCCCTGAAATGTATTTGTTTGGCATTGAAGTCTAGAAGTATAATTATATTTCTGTATATTTCATTTTTTTCCATTCAGAAAACAAGTTTACTCATTATATTGTTCTCAAAACCAGCTTATGATGCTTCCTATTGTGTGGATCCTGTCTTGAAACTGTCCGAATAGCAAAATACTGTAGGCTGTCAACAGCAGTGCAACTGGTTCGCTGCTAAGACACCTAAATTTTATATTGCCATGACTCCTACACTGCAGTGAATTACAACATGGTAAGACTGAGGATCGCAAAGATGAATATAGAACAAGATAGTCTACAAGGTAGTCTACAAATCTATGAAAATATGTGACATACATGTAAGTAATATACATCAGGCATTTATAAACACAGACATGATGCTCATGATAGTGAACACTTTCACCATTGTGTTTAATGGCTGCTGACAACTAGACTTATGATCTATGGTCAGCCCCGGGTTTCTACTGTTTTCTACCCACTCTCTTAACGAAAACATCTTAGGATAAACATACTGATGAGAAGGTCTTTATCATATGCTGATTTATTTTTTTTTCCTCTGAAATCTTGCATTAGGAAGTAAGGTTTAGCAAGAAAGATAGTGGCACATGATTTTCCAAATAAGGACAATGGAAATCCAGCTAGAAACTGAAACATCTTGAACTGTAAAAAAAAAAAAACGTTCTTTTTTCCCCCATTGCTAACATATTTCATTCTGGGTTGCAGGAGATGTATTGCTCCCAAGGAATACAGCTGCCTTAGCAGATCATGTAAAAAAGGCATAATCAGAGGTGTATGTAGATCTTGACCCCCTTAGGCATTTGAATATCATGATTATGGTGCTGCATTGAGAATAGAAATAGAATGGAAACCAAAGAAAAGTGGAAGCATAAATATGACATGTTTAAAGTGTGCCTGAGAGTATGGATCACCATATTCACCACTGTCTGTACTATCATTTCTTTCATTAAGAGATACGGTAAAACATATAATGTAGGTGAATTGTTATCTAAAACCCCATTTCAGAGGAAAGGAGCCAGTTTTACAGCACAGTGAAGGTAAATAAAGACTATGCTCCAAGTAAAAGAACAATGAAGCTTTATGTCAAGATAATTAGTGAAAGCAAAAGCTTTCCAGGGAATGCAAGCAGTGACTATCGATAAGAATGCCTATAGCTCATCTTTTCTGCTTTTGGACCTGTCCAGTTTTAGATGTGCACAGGTTCATTTTGAGCCAGCTGGGCTATTTGGTTTTTATGATTGCTTTCAGCTGGGCATAATGACCTCAATTTTTTGATGAACTTTGAAAACCAGGATACCTAAATGAGAGTAATTGTTATATAAAGATAATGTCACACTGCCTTTCACAGAATTCTGTACAGCTATTAAAAATGAGGGAAAATAAGACCTATTTTTAAAATATTTCATAGATATTTTAAGATAATTTTTCTGTTGTCATTCATGTATCTATAGCAGAAGAAAATTAAAAGATACTGTAAATTAAAAAATATTGTAGAGCTGCAGCAGCTCTTCCCATATATATGACATAAATATTTCCTAGTCATTGTATCACAGGGTGCAAATATTGCAAGTGTACATCCTGTTACTTGGCTTTAGAGGCTGTAAAGCATGAAAAGTATTAGCTAAGGTTATGGAGGCCCATCTCCCTGGAGAGAGTCATCCCATTGTAAAGCATGTCTTCTCTGTTAAGTAGAGGGCAAGTCTACAGGAGTATCTTATTTAGGTGATATGTATTCTACTTTGGCTTTTTAACAATTTAATCTAGAAATGTAAGGTACAAAATGATGGAACAAAAGGCATATGCTTCTTGTAAGTACTGAGTTTCAAGGATCAGGGTACATTTCATTCTCAGGGAAGTTAACATAGTGACCTCTTTCAAAGATATTAATGAAAAAAGGCCATTCATCTGTGAGCCTCTGAACACTTTCCATGTCACTACTAAGCACAGAGAAGAAATCTCAAGGCAGCAATGGGTGGATTTTTAATGGAGCTCTTCCAGTTGAGAGACAGATTAAGAGCCACAGTCTATGGAACAGTCATAAAGACTCCATTTTTTCAGTAGATTGTATTTATGTACTTACACAAAGCAGTTCACCACCTTCCAACATGAACTAAATAATCCTGTGGGGAAAAAAGGTAAGCATCATCAGAGAACTCTGATTCGTTCTAGCCTTGCCTGAAAGGTTTCTTTCAAGGAAATTAAAGTAAAATAAAATAAAAATAAATTAAATTAAAATAAAATAAATGGATCAAGCACAAATTTTATTTCAGTTATAATAATAATTTATAATTTCAGTTACAGTTTTCCAAGTAATGAGTATTTATTTGCTGTTGTTATTGGTTTAATATTACTATTTTATAAATATTTATGTTCTAAGTTTATTTTAGTAATTAAGACCTCACTGAAATTTATTTGATTTTGTGTTGCCACCATCTGGTTACTAAATAGAGAAAAGGATCAGGTTCTTTAATGTTCTTCTATAATGTTGTACTGCATTCTTAAAATGCCAATTGATATGTCCCTTCTCTCTCCCACTGCAAACACACATGATTCTATATGGAAATCTGTCAGAAAAAAGGAAAACTACAGTATTCTGAATTAAAATGTAAGTAAGTCAAACCAGGAATTATCTCAAGGTAAAAACTACTGGTTTTAGAAGTTCTTTAGTACTTCCATTCTTGAAAGAAAAGTTTGTTACTGAGAAGTTTAAAAGTAAATGGCATTTTTTATGTGTATTACTAAAAGCCCTCTGTCAGCTATAGGCCATTACTGAAAGAACAATGCTTTTGAAAGATCTACATTGTCTGTCATAGGCAAAACCCTCAAATAGTAAATATTTTTGTATTACATGGAGAGTACGTAGGATAGCATTTTAATTTTCTGCTGATGAAAATATTTTTGTTCTCTAATAGAAAATAAAATCTGCCTAATCCACATTGATTACAGCAAGCCAGTCATAGATGTTATGAATTTTTAATTTATATATGCTGAAAAGTTGAAGACTTTCACTCAAATTCATTTAAAGAAATAAAATCAGATCATGAACTCATGGTATCTGTGGGTACAATGAAAATAAAACTTGATTTAAATGTACAGGTCTTTCCAGGGTTTTAGATTTCATCCGCATCCAGAAAATCTACTTCTGAATTGCACACGCAGGCTTATATTATCGTTGCAGTGAACAGTTTTTCCATGCATCACCAATTTGATTCCTAGCAACATAAGTTCTTTTAGTTCAAAATGCATCAAGTTAGATGTTATTAAAATTCTTGGCTAGATTCAAATACTCTTTTGTCAGTGAACACAATGCAGAAGTTGTTTCAAAATGAGACCATAGGAACACATTCAGTAGTTCTCTATTACAGTATTGAAGATTTTCTGAAAACAGAGCCATGTCAACTCCTAAGTAGAGCTGAATATCAACAATTCCTACTAAAATGAGAGGGAACTTCAGTACTTATGTCACTTATGATTTGGCAGCTTGATGTTAACTTGAGTAACAAATATTTAAATGTATTTCAATTTAAAAAATTGAAAGCGTGTATTTAAGTGGAATTTGAAATTGTTTATCTATTATATCCTTCCACAAAGAAAACGTCCTGAAAGAAGATGCCTTACAGTGAACAGTCCTATTACCTTTTATTTTCCAATTTTTGTTCAGAATTAGAGTGATTAGGAGACAGAATTGTTTGCCCCAAAAAGCCACACTCGGTTATAAGCTAAAGTGGAAATCAAACTAGTATAAAATAAGAAAGAGCAACTCCAGAAAACTTCTGACACCTCCCACCTCCACACACACACATACACCCCGTTTAATCTAAACTAACAAACTAGAACTGGCTCAGCATATAAGGGAAAAATGGGAAAAAACCTGTTCAAATGAATCAGCACAATTTTAGAATAACTATCAAATAAGAACATTGCTTTTATCTTAACTTACAGGATACAAGGGCATTTCAATTTTTCAGCAGAATATATTCATGGAAATAGACTATTTCCTTTTCTTCTTACTGATGCCACTGACAATAAAATCATTTGTTTCCAAGATGCTTCATGTGTCATTTAGGATCTTGTATCTTTCTGCTGAAACAAACTTCATAGCTGTTTAAGGGACAGACTACAGAAAGCAATTCTTCTTGCTAGTGGAGTTAAACAAACCTGTTTAAAATACTCTTTACCAGTTTTTCTGGAGGGTGTGATTATGCTATCAGAAGAAGCCAAGACCAATGTCATTGTCTGAAACAAGAAGCAAGTAATTTGGACAATCTTAATCTACTCCTGTACCCCACAGGTGC